CTATACAGGCTTGGCAGGCTAGAGCATCCCTCAAGCTTTCAGTCCTGCAGGCTTATTCCTTCACAGCAGGGTGCTGTCATACACTGATCCAGCCCTTTCAGATCAGGGCTGCATCCACTCCCAGCCAAGCAGGCTGGCTCAAGGCCAGGTTGATGTAATGGGTTTAAAAGAAACAGCACTGAAACAGATCCTTAAGGGAACTAGATCAAGACACCAGCGATATCCAGTCCCTCTTGATTTTAGTGTGAGTCCAAAGGGCTACTAAGCAACTTCAAAAATCACCAGAGTGAGCTAGGTTCTGGCTCCACAGAGCTTTCGAGTATTAGAGTGTGGATGATGAATGCTTAATGCATAAGGAAAGGTTACAATTCTCACTGCATACAGAGTACCATTAAAAAAATTAATCTGTGTTATCTAGGTTCTGAGAAAACATTCCTAACAGCTAATTGAGCACGACTTGAGAGCTACTCAGACATAATTCATGCTTTCTCTTTATTCCCTTCTTCCCCCAGTTCTCACACTAACAGTCTGGTCCACTACGTATTCCCCATAGGAAGTCTACCTACACTAACCTCTAGAGCCCTGGCCTGCTCCAGAAACCCAAGCTCAGAGCAGGGACCAGTTGCACTCCTCCAGCTGGCTCCCGGGCAGCTTTCTTAGTCCCAGAAGGAAACACACAAAGTATTCCAGCAACGCCTTCTGCAGAGAGAGGTGGAAACAGCAAGGACGTGGCCCCTCATGGCCCCAGGCTGCAGCATTTTCCCCCTGGTTACCTGCTCATACAGGCTAGGACCAGTAACACCGGTCACTGCAGCTGTGGCCAGTCCAACCCAGCCGGCTCCTTTACTCCCACACAGGGCTATGGGCTCTTACCTTCTCATGGCTACTGTAAGATTGCTTTGTCTTGGCCCCTTGAACCACTGGTTACAGCAGCAGCACCATCACCTGCGGCACATGCCCCACTTTGTGAGGATAAGCCTTGTCTGCTGTGAGAGCGCCTTTGGCACAGACTGAAAATACAAATCTCTGCTGAGGGAAAATGGGGCAAAAGGAAATCCCCGACTGAAACCTTGATGCAGTGGGACCATACTCTGTGGTTTTTAAAGCTGGAATCTATAGCTAGATTTACAAGCTATATGTGGTACAGTAGGAATTTGATTGAAGGAAAACTGATTGAAGTTCATGAATTAGCTCTGAGTTCAGCAATTTTTACACACATGGATGTGTAACTTTAAAAGTTGCACATGTCCAAAAGCATCTTGGCAAATCAGGGAGCTGCTTAAAAGAACCTTTAAAATGAAAGTAAATATATTAAAAATCAGTCCTTGAAAAATACTGCTCAGCCCCCTCACCAACATGTTGCAACCTCTGTTATGCAAAAGACAATGGGCAGACACTGACACGCAGGCAAAGCACAAGGAAACATGATAAATGACCAGTTGGGACCACTGTCCTTCACCCTGCTTCTTTTAAATCACACCAGGCTACCATCTTAAACCATAAAGTGCAATCTAGTACTTCAAACATGATATAAGTGGTGTCATCCGAGGAAAAAAAACCCAAACCTAACTACTGTGTTCTTCCAGGACATACTCAGAGCAGATACACTGAAGCAGATCTTGTATTTGGCAGATAACTGAGGGACACACACATCACGAACAGAGCCCCTTTCCTGTTGCTGCTGAACCTGTTCTCAACAGAAAAAAAAATTATAACCAAACCACCAACACCAAAAAATCCGCATTTTTTTTTCCTGGAAGGAAAGTAGTCCATGGAGAAGCAGGATGTGCAGGAAGTTCACCTCCGCAGGTAACCCAGAGGCATTGCAAGCCAAAGAACAGAGTTCAGTTATGCTCTTACATTGACATTAACGGAAGTCGAGTTAGGTCCAGCATTAGCAGAAAACAGTACCTCCCCAAAGCACTGGTAGAGCAGCTACTGTTGCCATAACTACCTCACTCCCAGCAGCACGCGATTTAATTCCTATGGTTAAATATTTACAGGGCAGGCTGCATTTCAGGAGGTGCAGGAGCAGCTCATAGAATGCAAATCTGTCTTCAGGGTCCTCACAGAGGATTTCTGGAGTCACCCCTCAGCTTCCTGCTTCCTTGCTCCCTGCACACCTGGTTATCATCAGGAAGGAGGAGCACAGCTGGGAGGACAAGCTGGGAGCCACGGGTGCTCATGGCTCAGCCTACGAAAGTGGCTGCACCAGCACCTGAGCAAGGCAGGATGGCGACAGCCACAGGTCACACCGACAGTCCAGGCATCACCAGACCACAAAGACAACGAGCTGGAGCCAAGGTCAAGGGAGTCTGGATGAGCCGGGGGCAGGGAGGACACGGCTGTACCTGCAGGACAGCTTCGGCAAGGACCAGGGACTTGCCTGACGACAAGGCAGAGGTCCCAGGCAGGCTAGAGGCAGGGCGGTTAATGCCTGGTGGTGCACCCAGCATATGGCACTGCCCTTGCACCAAACTGATAGTCTTCTACCAGCTATCACCTAAATCACCCCAACCCACTCTGTAAACTTGAATTCTACTTCAGCTATATATGACTGCAGCAATTGGTATTCGCTGGAGTCATCCAGATGTCTACAGAACTACTGAATTCTTTCATACTGATTTTGCATCATCCTTCTCACAGCTCTGACACTGAAGAAACTTGCACATAAAGAATCAAGAAAAAAAAAACAAAACAAAACCCAAATGAAAACCCAGGCCTGCAAAGATCTTGCAGTGAAATCCCCAATAAAATGTGTGCTTCACTATCTATACCACTAAAATACTTTTAAAATCTGAAACTGCTTCTGGTACTCCCCCATGACTTAACTTTAAAGTAGGGACTGACACGCATGGCAGTGCTCTAAGTGCATGGCCAGTTTACACGGCTGCATAGCATGTAGATGCATATTAGTTATGCAGTTAACAATTGCAGTGGTATTATGGTTGCACATTTCAGGCCCATATATAGTCTCTGTCAACATACTGTGACAAGAATTATGCATGTGCATAACATCTTCCACCTCAATGCCAGTTTGTCCCTTAGGAAAGGGACACGCAGGTTCACTTTCAGATGAAGCTCTGCAGTTAGGAAATTTCATGGAGTAGGACCACTGCAGTTGTCTAGGTTGCCTCTGCAAATAATGCATTACAAAATCCTTTAGTCAAACTCCTTAGGAAGCAGTGCAGAGTGTGAAGCCAGGAATCCTACCTAAAGCCTTCACTCTCCACAAATCCCTGCTCCAAGGCGGCGCACAAATGCCACAAAATTCTCATCCAGAATAAAAGCTCACTTTGGCATCAGCAGTCAGAGGATACCACGGTACCACGGGATGTAAGAGGAAGTATGTTTACCTTGACAGATGACCACATTACTTCAAGGCATAGGGTTGGTAGTCTGACTCTTGTAATGTTGCCACATACTCCCTTGCATGTTGGGTGCTGACTGTTCCAAACAGGTTCAGATAGAAGTTGTCTTAAATTAAAACTATGTTCAGGCTTAAGAAACAAGTGCAGTTTATTAGAAAATGAAATACCTTGAAAATATGTTCAGAAGCATGTATACATGTACACAGAGACACTATGGCTTTAAGTCTTTTGGACTTAAAACCACACTCATCTCTATAACCTTAGAAATACAAAAAGGTAGTGTTTAAATTACAGAAATCAAAGTCACGCATCAGCAGTAACATTTACATCATTCCATTTGGTGCAAATTTCAACACAAACAAAACAGGCTTCAATAAAAACAATAATTTTTAAGATGTATGTTCTAATTAGAGGAAATAAAAAGAAGCTTAGGTTCAAAATTATCCTGTTACAGGTTGAACACTATTGGAGAAAAGAAATTTGTCAAAGGAAAGACACTGTCATGTTGGGGTTTGGGTTACCTCAAGGACTGAACACTACCATAAATAATTATTACTCACTGCTCCCTCCCAAAATAGCACTTTGATTACTTGAAACAAACAATTCGATATTGCAGAAATGCCAATTGTTCATTTATTTTGTCGTTCTCTTTCTGTGGGATTATTAAGAGTAAGGACTGGGGCTGGATGACTAAATACTGATAAAATAGCAGTATTTTAGACTAACTTGAGGGAAAAAAAAAAAAGAAAAAGGAAGAAAATCCCCATGATATGCTTCTATTGAAAGGTTTTGTTTGTCTGTGCATAATATACTAGTGATACCTAGAAACCAGCAGAAGAGGTACTCCATTCAGAAGCTGACTTCAAGAGTCCAATCAGGCTGGTGGCCTGTGAGCATGACCAGTGCCAAGTGTCTACATCAACTTAATGCTGTGCCATGAAAATCCTTCCTTTGGATGGCCGCATCCCCAAAAGAACCAACGTTAGTATATATGCTAAGTGTGGTGGTCAGACAACAGGTTTCTTACATGATTCTGAAAGCCCTAAACAGCTTCTGCTCTGGACTGTTCTATCTTGGCTTTAGAAATACCAATAATGCTTCATTCTTCCTACACAACTATGAGATATATTCAATTAATTTTACTGACAACACTAAACTAAACCCCACAGCTCCCTTAGGAGTTAGTTAAGTCAGATTCTCTCCACTTTAAAGCAGAAAATTGAGGCACGGTACAGCTAAGTCCATGACACTGCTTGAACCCAGTCCTTCTCCCAGTATTTTATTCTATTAAGAAAATCATACATAAAGATGAATGAAGTAATACAGGTATACAAACAGATCAGTATTCCTACCAAAATACATAAACTTTACCCGTCAGTTTACTTCATTCTACTGGAACACTGGCTAAAAACACACAGGTCCTGATAAACGCAGTATAACAAAGTCTGAAAAGGAAAACATGGTGATAATGGTTTTATAAAAACCTGGGATGAATCCTTGATCGACTCAATTCCTTTGGTGAACAGAATCTCACAGGCTTTTAAAAAACACGAAAAGTGACGTCATCTGATCAGACCATTAAGACTGAGGCTGACGTTGCATTTGATAACGGGGCAGATCTAAAAGCCTTTACTGCGCTGGCTGCAAAAATTCGGACGTGAACACAGCTTCTGCGTAATCCTCACAAACATCCTGCAGCTCTGCTGCCACGTCACTCAGGGCTTCTTCTGTTACCTGCTCTGCAAGACTGAGGGAGAGGGGGAAAAAGAAGAAAGGAAAAAAGGAAAAGGGTCAGAAAGTCAAATTTCAAATTCCAGTCATTGTTCCGCCGATATCAACGCTCCGGTTTCGGAAGGCAGATATCCATGTTTTTTCATTCGTTCTACTGCTTAGCCCAAAAAAATTGGTGATGTGTGTTCTGATCTGTGTTGCGTAAGATACCAGAAATCCTATTCTCAGTCTGGGTCATAGCAAGGGACATACTTTGAGCTGAAGTGTTGAGACATCTCAGTTGCTTCCTTTTTTTCAAACTCTTAGATACTCACCCTGCTGCAGGAGTACGAGTTGACATGCTGTGGTGCTCATCCAAAGGCCACTGGAGCAAATAGGAAGCTTTGTACTGATTTCAGCTGCCACTGAATCAGGCCTTACTGAGAGCAATAAAGTTTAAGTAAAAAATGAGAGGAGAAATTTCACTTTTCAGTGATCTCTGGAGCACTGTAACAGATGTTACAGAAGGGAAAACTATTTTAGTGTAAGAACCCAATTGCTTACTGACCTCTTGAAAACTTCTCTTCAGTTTTGCATATATTCTAAATACCATAAAGTTAGTCTGTTAGTCTTCCTAAGACCTTCTGAGCGTAGCACAGGAATGTTTCTTTCAAACATGCTATTTTATGTAAAAAGATTTGTAATGCTCTCTGGTGGTAAGGATAAGTCAATGAAGCATACTCAATATCCCACTGCATTTTAGTTTAATTCCAACTAACAACATGGATCATATGGCAGCAGTGGAATTCAGCTGTCAGGTGAGATTCACTACCATTTCATCCATCTGCCAATCCCAAGAAGGTGCCAGTCCCTGAATTACCCATCCTCACACCAACTGTAAACAGGAGTACAGTTTAGAAGGCAGAATGACAGTACTGAGAACTGACAAGACACATTTCAGATAGATTCAAAGAGAGTGGTCTAACCATAGTTACCAAAACCTCTGCCTAAATGGGCAAACCATCACCACACACGATCAACTTCACATATGCAAATAATCTCAAATATTGCAGGACGTGTTCCTGGGAACATTAATGTAGATGCCAAATGCTACTCAAATGAGCTGTATCACTGATTTCAATGCTACTACATTAAAAACGTGTGCAGAAGTTTAAAAACCCCTGGCAATTAAGCCTCATGCACAATCTGCCAATACAGACAATTGGGGCAAACCCCTCCATGTGCAACCTCTAGAGTTAGATTTTGTAATTCTTTCTTAATACTCCACAGTTCTATTGTTTTATTTCTTTCCTCCCATAGCCAAGAGTCCTCTGATTTCCACTCTGTGGGGAATCAACAGACCCTCTCTGCCAACTGATGCTGTGTGAGTATTCCTTCAGTTCTGAAAGAAGAGGTTCAAGTTCAGGCTGTTTTTGGGCTGGGACCTGGCGATTTCTCAAATAAATCATACATATTGAGAACGATTCTAGGCAGTTGTAAGCAATCACTGAAGAAAAGTGCAAGGAAATTATAACTGGTGACATTTAGTTGCTATGCCTGTTACTGAGCATACAAAACACTTACTCAGGCTTCAGTGCAAGGGTGGGTATTTCAGCTTACACTGTTCTGCTTGCTTAGGAGGCACCAAGTGTGATAAACAAGTTTTCTTTTCAGGAAGTGAACAGCAGAGAGACAGTTACTTATTGCTTCTTCACCTCTTCTATTTGTCCTGAGGGATGGTAAGCCACCTATGTCACATCTCCCACACTGAACTCCATGAAGCATTAGGACGCGTGGAAGACAAAGCACCAAAATCTGCACTAAGGCCAGTAGTCCCCTTTTAAAAAATATCTACTGTTGTTCCATGAAACATCAACATCATAATCCCTCACCACAAAGATTAAAACTTGCACAGTTATTTACAGTGCTTTATTACTTTCTCACTCACATAAAGTTAGTTTTGTTTTCCTTCAATTTCCCTGTTGATGATAGTCTTCTGAAAATAACTGAAATCACCCTGTACTTTACACAGTTGTTTCTGTGGTAACACCATAGAAAGATGTGAAAAATAATCACTCCTCCAGGTCATTCTGCTCCCATACCCTTTCCTCCCATGAACATCAAGCAGAGAAACAGTCCAGTAGGCTTCTGGCTTTCAGTATGGAATTTAAATGGCCCCCTCCCAGCTCCTTTCCCTGAAGGACAGAAAAACCTGTTCAGCAGCTGATACATTCACATCAGAAACACAAAGATAGCTCACATACCTCTCAGCAATCTGCCAGGGATTGAAACTGCCTATTGCCTCATGGGAAATAAGCTTTAAGTGATGCTTGTATCTGCTGTTATAATCCAAGATGCTCTGGAGCATATGTTTTGGCACAGAGAGAGACACACAGCCCTCTTTCTGTAGAGACTTCCAAGTCAAGGGCTGCAGAATGTCATTTCCAGACTGCAGTTTCTCCTCTGCTTCTTTGTTTTCATCAGTACTGCTGGAAAAATAAAATAGTCGTTAATCCAGAACTAGATTTTCAAATATCTTTTTGAAGGAACAGGAAACCTCTTCAAACAGTAACCACAGTTTCTGTAATGAAGACACACAGCTAATATGCACCACAGCCTAATGCGGGGCCAAATATTCTACTTACTTGCCATCAAAATGCTTTTCAAATAAAATGTCCGTTTCTGGCTCTGTGCACCCGATGAATGTGGTTATCTGAATCGGAGGGGGAGAGGTAGGTCTGTCAGCACTCGATGCAATTTGCTGATCTAGAAGGGAGAAAATAACATTTTAAATTGTTTCTTTGGAAGAGAAAAAATACAATTACTGCAGGTAAGTCCTCACAAAGACTTTTGCTTCTTTTAAGGGGAAGTCTTTCAGATAAGTAAAGTACTGAACCCCTAATACGTGTATTCAATGTAGAATTTCCAAGAGCTCAGTGTATTAATGCTGAGCATTTTAGAAGTCCTACCTTTAGTATAGTTTGTTTGTGTCAGTGGATACTCCTACTGAAGAGATAGAAAATACCACGCTAAAACTAGTGTAGTGTATTGAGCTTGGCAGTAAATCCAAGACATGGGAAAAAAATCCAGCAAGATTTGGGCAAAGCCTTCACTAGTCTTATTCTGAGATTTTCCAACTGTAAAACAACACAGTCCATCAAAGTCAGTCTGTGATCAGATACTCAGCTTGGAAAAAAAATCAGTGTAGCTTCAGTATTGCACTCAATCTAATAGTAAGACAAAGAAGGATCAGAAGGATGGGAAAAACAACAAGCGCAAGTCATCCTTATTAGCATGCCACTGCTGCAAACAACATTCAAGTCTGTACACTTACGTAGGGAATCATCAAGCTATTGTTTGGAATGCTACGTTTCATTAGTGAACAATTTCTGACTAATATTACTTAGGTCCTTCTCAATTAAAAATTGATGTGAAAAGTTAGTTATTTTTCATCTGAAGGACTTTACACCGATTCATTTATTTTCTGTCCAATAAAAGCAAGCAAGAAAAATGTGATTAATGTGAACTGGGAGCATCAAAATCGTGGTTTTTCTTTCAAGGATTAAATACTTTTTACTGAAGCATGTTGGAGAGCAAATTCTGTAGAGAAAAAGTCCAGATGTTCTGAGGCTGTAAAAATTAAACTTGCATGTACACTACAAGATCTAAAACCAGTGTCACCATCACTTATCCTTATTGAAAGGAATAAGGAATGAGAAAAATCTTCTAAGCTTAAGTAATTTAATATTATCTTTTGTGCATTGCCAGAAAAACCTTAAACTGTCATGGGTTCACTGCAATCCTAATATTTACCTAACACATACTCTTGAACTCTAAACCGTTTAAACCAAAAGTTTATTAAAGTAAAAAGGGGGAGGGGAAATGGGAGAAGCAAACTAGAATGTAAGTATCTGCTTGCTCCTGCCTAAGCAAATTGACAGCAGGACAGAGACTTTATACCTTACCTCAGCCTGTGAACTCTAAATGGTTTGGAAATCATTAGCATGAAAAAGTAATTAATGGTGTTTCAAAGAAATCAAGTCAAATGAGAACACACTAAATACTCTTCTCAAGATTAAGATTTACAGATTTGCCCGTATCTCTCTCAAAACTGAAGACAGACAAGTTATCCAGAGTTTAACAAGAGAACAAGTGAAGTGGCTTTAGGACTAGATTTTAGTGGCTTTAGGATTAGGCCTCAGACTTAGATAGTAAATTAGCTGTCCTCTGCAGTAAATTTAAGTAGTGAATTGGAGAGTATATACTTATGGGATATCACCGTCACTGCATAAATATCATTACACATTGGTGGAAAACATTTAAGCCAAGGAATGCAAATGCCTAGAAAAGAGACAACATTCAAAGTTACTTGATGATTGAAGAATGTGTCAAAGATTCCTATCCTTCAGGTAAATTGTACTAGTAGTTTTCCATCCAAATGCAGCCCCAACAAAGGCAAGTAGAAAATGGCAGCCTGTTCTCAGAAGAGATTCTTCCCCTTCACAATATTGATTTTAGAACTAGATTTTAGAAACAGTCCTCTCAAAGGAGCACCTGTAGTAAAAAATGTGTCTGGATGGTGTTATTTGATCACAAATTATCAAATTATTTTTATTTCGCAACATATGAATTTAAAGATACAGATTACAGAAAAGCCAAGTTGTATTAAAAAGGCAGTTACCCTTTTTGTCTTCCTTGTCCCAGAACTCCAAATCACTGTACACAATGTGGGTGAATCTCCTGCGTATGACCTCCTGGTATCTCTGGGTTTGAACATAGAAATTCCATCAATCAACACACAGGTAGCAGTTCAGCTGTACTGATTGTTTTAACGCAATCAGAAAGCAGGTCATGATCCAGTGTGGTCAAAGTAGGCTTATTTTGCCTACTTTACACAGAAGGGCAGTAAGGGTGTGAAAGCAGATACTCATCTCATTCAAAATGCCATACTTGAAGACTCAACTAGTTGCCAGTAGCATGACAACTGCTCCCATTTCAGCTCAACAGCACTTAGCCAACCAACTGAAGGGCCTTCAGCTGTTCCCGCTTTGTGAATTCAAACGTATGCTTAAGTGCCTCATATGATAAAGACACTGCACAATGTAAGCTTCATGCTTCCAAGTTGCAAATAGATCTCTAGAAGTAAATGGCACTAAGCTCTGTAGATCTGTTACAATAAATTTCACTGAACAGGAAGGTTGAAACGGGACTTGAACCAGAAACTGTGTATTTGTGCGACTTTCCCCATGTTGCCCTGTGAAATATTCTGGATTGTCAGAGCATATTTCCTAGAGATCCTCATGCTCCTGGAATACCGGGATCCCAGAGCACACACAAAAATCATATTCAAATACTTTCCAATCTGTAAGACAATCAACATAATTGCTATACTGATTGTCCCATTCACATTACCCAAGGCACCAAGCCTTGAGGTGGGAAGCAGACTCAGGTCTAAGGGCTCTAAAGCTAGCAATAAAACCATTAGGGCAAACATTCTTCCTTTCTCACACTGTTTCACTGGAAGCGCAAACTCTTTCCAAGTCTTTCATTTCAGGCACTGACACAGTCAGACCTTGCTTAATTTAAGAACATAGATACTTACAGATGTTACAACTTACGGGTAGTAAACTAGAAATTAGCACTAATGAGACAGTCCAAGAGAGAAAAATCTTACTTCAATTTCTTCCATTCTTTCCAACATTGACTCCAGACTGTGAGTGTCAGCCACAGGCAGAACCTTGGTCTGGAGTCGCTCATGCTGCTCCATACTCCTCAGTTCCTGAGCAGTATCTTCCAAAAGATCATCCAATAGCTTTTCACTCAGAATATCTGCATTTGCTGCAACCTGCTATTAAAACAAAACAAAAAAAAAACCCAAAACCAAGCTACCACCAAACAAAACCAACACAATTCTCCCCTCTTTCCCCCCGGCAATACAAGAAAGAAAGGAAAAAAAAAAAACCAAACAAAAAAGCCCCAAACAACCGAGGGGAAAGAATGCTTCAAATAAAACATTTCCTACAGCAGCTCATGGAAATAATCCATAAAAGTTGCCATGCAACTTTTCCCTTCAATGAAAATCCAAATAAATTCCTGTTTTCTTTTGACCCATACAATAAGCCAAATCAATACAATCAGCTTATTATGTTCCTACCAATAAAAACAATGAATATGGAAAAAGCTTGCTGTACAACTTTGTTCCCAAACTGAAGACAAAACTATCACAGGTTCAGAGATCACCCAGGAATTCAATAAAGTGAAGCAAAGGCCCTCATCTTACAAAACACTATGGGCACATTTAACTTCTCGTGCAGGAACAGCCTCAGAGCAACTCCAGATGGTCAAAAGTAAGTATATAGGATCCAGGACACAGCTGTAGCTTTCAGTTATGTCCAATTTTGCCAGTTAGCAATTTCACTATTCATTAACCTGTATTACTTTATAAGAAAACATCTTTCCCCTTAAAGCAACTCATGCATTCAAGGTCACACCAAGCAAAAAATAAATAAATAAATAATTGCCCAAACAAAAGATGATGTTAGAAAGAGCTTTTTCATGGTTTCATACTGTTTGTGGTTACCAAAAAACACTTTAGAAGGCACATTTTTAAAGATGTGGCTTACATAAGTTGAAATTGCTAAGTATGGGAAATCAGTACTACACTTCCAGATGCATTCGGTGATATGGCAAAGATGAAAAGTCATCTTAAATGTCAAACAGTTTTACTCTATGACATACAGATAGAATACACCTTCTTATATGCACGAGTTAAAAGGTGGTTTATAAATGAAGAAGCCTTCAAATGACAGCTTGTTTCCAAGGAGAGATTGATCTTCTAACTAAAATGTAAAATCTCTCACAATAATAAAGCTTTCTATAGTACTAGTCAATATTACTAGTCCAAATTTATTTAGTCATTAAATACGGTTTTATAAGAATTATTAAGCCAATCCTAACAAGTTCAGTCACATTCCACATGGGACTGTTACAACCACTCAAAACCAACTTAAAACCACATCTACTTGACAAGAAGCTAACAAAAAAAAGGAAAATTTAATGCAGCTTTGCCAAGCTCCATTACAGTAATTCAAGGCCCACACACTGAAACGGAAATACACTCTCCGAATGTCCAAAACTCTGTTGACTACAGAAATAGGACTTGAAAATTGAAAAGAAACTGTGTTACCCCTATATAAATCTTTTTCAGCTCTAAAGGCATCCTTCAAACAGTGGCATGAGCTTGACTGTACTACCTGTGTCCTACCCAACAGAGGTTCTAAGGGCGCCCGTACTGCCTTCTCAGCTCTGTCTGCACACTGGGTTGGAGACGCACTCCGTGACCTATGCAAAACAGAACAAATGACAAATGCCATCCTGAAACTTGGTATTTTAAGAAAACCACATAAATGTCCTTTTCCGGGGACTGGTGGGAGTGGTGAGGAGACCCCGTTATGTCTGACGTCACATCTGGCATCATTTATTACCTCTTCAAATCAAATAATTACTTTTGTATTTTTTCATTTCACCTCTGCGAAGGTCAGTGAGAACCTTCACTCTTCCTGAAGTTTCTGCTTCAGGCCATGCTAGTCTTAAAAAATAAAAAAGTAGCATAGAGGGTTACAAAATGGACATTTTAACAACTGAAGAATTAAATAATGTGATTCTGAGTATTAGTATAGAAAACTTTAAAACACTGTAGAGGCAAAATTAATGCTGACTTTAACACCATATACACCAGGAAATTCCGCTGAGAACCAGGGATCTTCATCTACTTTTTTGCTACTGGCAAACAGACGACTTCATGACCACGCACAAACACTGCCTGGAGAGACAAGCTCCTTGTCTTACCATGCACACTGCTTAGTACAGATCCAGCAGCTGGATCAGCAGATGGATCTCCTGCTCCAACTGCCACAGACAGTAGTTCCAAAGGCAAATTTGGGGAGCTCTGGTCTACAGCCAAACATAGCTTAAAATAAAGAAGCCTGCACTCTATTACTGGCTAGGACAAAGATATAGATTCTGTCCTTTTGGAACAGGGAGATAACATTTCCCTTCTTAATGCGGTGCTGTGAATATCCGCTCTGCATACTGTGTGTTTGGGTCAATGCCCTGCCTAGCACAGTTTGGATGGTGACTCCCAGACAATACTTGCACCTGATCCAGAAAAAAAAAAAAAAATCATAAAGCAATGGCTCTTCCCAGGCTGTAGGCACGAGAGCACTTTGTGTCGACTGGGAGAAGCATACAACTAGCAGATAGCAACCTGTGCTGTGCCACCTGCCTGCATGGCCTGACAGGCATGCCAAATCCATCCCACTTACTAGTACAGATACAGCAGCATTTCCACAGGAAAGCAGGGTAAAGGCAGGTTCTACTCTTCTGTGAGCATACCGCTTAGGTGCAGCAGGTGGGTGTGCAGGGTTTGGAGGCACGCAGGGATTTCTACTCTCCTTAGCAAGTCGTTTGTTCTCTTTTAGCTGGAAAGCTATAGTTGCCTCTTGAAATCGGGCGTGCTTTGCTTGAGGCTGTATATCTCTTGATTTTAGAGATTTTGGCGTTCCCTTAAAATAAACACAAGCACATTAAAAACATGTATTCCAGTTGTTGAATTTTTAAAGTATTTCACATTCTGCTTCAGAATTTGTTTTGAAGTCCTGCCTGCTTGCTTTGTTGCACAGTTACTGATACAGTGATTTAAAGGGAAGTACAACTGTGCCTGAACAGAACATATGCTTAATCCTACAACTCTTACCTTTGCAAACAGTTCCAAGATTTCCAATGTTGCCTTTCATGGGAAAAAAAAACCCCTTATTTTCAAATTTTCACAATTAGACTCGATGTTAACTCAGAATAGTTCCAAATAGAAGGTTTCCACAGTAACATTTTATTCAGCCATGAAACTAAAATATCACCATATTTGTATTTACTACAAGGACACTTACACTCGTCCTCTCAGTATGAATTACTGAAATGCTTAACCTTCCTGCTCACAATCTGCACCGATAGAAATGGGAAGCTACTGTATCAATCTGATTTTCAAGCTGAAGGTGATACTCTAAGGGAAAAGAAAGGGGGGCTGTGTGTATTTGAATTATTTTATGACTTCTGTACCTGTGATTTTGCAGGTAATAACACACCTTTCTTCTTCAATGGGACACCTTCAAGCATGGGATCTTTTTTCACAGCTCTAGCTCTCAGCAATGCATCTGCGCTTCCTTGTGAAGTGGCATTTTTCTCTGGAGCAGGTGGTTCACTGTCTTCTTGGAATTTATTGTGCAATATCTGAGCACAACTGTTTGCCTTCTGAACTGCTGAAATATCTGCAACATGTATCAAAAATAAGCTTTCAACTAAGCATTCTTCTTGCCCTTTCCTAGGGGTAGAAAGAAATACTTACTATTCTAGTAAAAAACAGTACAAGGCATGGAAATGACACCTCAAAGAAAACCAATTAATATAGGTTATGTAATAACATAATAAGCTATAATGGCTTACATGAGGTGTCAAAATACTTCAGGTGGTAAATTTATCTCACACCACCATAAGAAAGAATAAAGGCCATTTCCTTTCATATATGAAGTTAAAGAAAAAGAAAGTTATTTTTCAATAAATAAATCATTGAAATGGTTGCATGGTAAACTAGTATGGAAAAAACCCAGTCTTCAGCTTAACAACCAGTTAATGTGTCCCGAGGTAGTGAAACTGTGATCACTGGGCAGAAGACATTAACATTCATGAACTGGCAAGAACAAAACAGAACCACCCCTCTCAAAAGTGGAGAAACTGCACAAACCAAGGAAGTTCTGAGCCAAGACTGCAATTAATCTTTTCACTGTAAACAGTTAAGCAATAGCTTTGTTGGAGATTTACTAACAGTAAGTGACTTTGCACTCCAGAATAATGTATCGATACAGAACTATCTAGGTAGGTATTTGGAAATATTCTGTGTGCACCATTCATGTCAGATTGTAAACTGCAATTTAGTACATCTGTGGAAAGCCAATCCAAGTTCAACCCGCACTAAAAGAAATGGACAAAACCAGGAAGAACATGGTAATAATAACAACACAGTTACAAGGAGGCTTATAAACCTGCAGCCTGATGTTCTCAGGGACCAGCTGAAAAAACGCCTAACAAGGCTGTGTGAGTCTGAGGACTACACATGAGCTGTTATGCAGCTCTGACTGACAATACCCAACACACGAGAAAACTGAGCTGAGGTGGCAAGTTAACTGGTAGAAACGTATTTTAGAATTCAAAATACGAACCAGTTGAGGGACTCCTACAAGCTGGAGGTTTTCTAGGTTCTTGGCCATGTTGCGCCTTTAAAATGAGACGCTTGTTTTCCCCTTTTGGAGATATAAGCTGCTTTCTGGATGGAAATGTCTCAGTGTTCCTTGGAGATTTGCCCTGAGATGATGAAATACACTTCTTCACTTTCTTGGGTGTTTGTTTCTTTTCCAGCAGTGAATCCAGATCCTGCACCACATATTTAGAACTTTAATTAATCTCTCAGTAAACCTGATGTAATAGTGAGAAGAAAACTTCAGAGATTCTAAGTAGTTGGAACTTTTTTGGTGTGATTTTGTTTTTTGTGGTAGTGATTATTCCTGACAGTTTGTTTCTGCAGAAGCTTCTTTATAGTATTAACTTAAACCCTACAGAAAAGACTTGTGTTTTTGTATTTACAGTTGAGTACCAGCAAATTACCTGCTTACAGCATGTTCAAAAAGAAATGGACACAAAGGCTACAGATTAAAAAAACCAAACAAAAGAAAAACAACAAAAGTCCACGACTCAGGGAAGACAGACACCTCTTCCAACGCCAAGTCCAAACTCAAACAACTCTACTTCCTCTGCAATTTTCAGGCAGTCAGCACTATTCCTGTTCTCATAAGCAGTTCAGAACAGTAAAAACAAAACCACAGCTCTTACAGTTAGAACAATATTTTAAGGACAATATCTTATGGCTATTGCATCAGTTGCCTTCATTCAAATTAATTAAAATACTAGTTTCATAATAGTTCAGGTTCCATAGGTTCTTACTTTAAAAAAAATAATCTTGTAGGTAGGAATTGCAGCTGGAAACGTGAGTCAGAACTTTTCTATTATATCAACATGTTCTAAGACATTAGATATCACTAACAAAAGCCATTTGAAGGGCATCAACAAGAAGGGTGCCAGGTAGCCTCCATATTCAGGATGCAAGTCTATTTTATACCACCAGTACTTAGGAACACATTTATACATGTGAAAACACAGACTTAAAAACCCAACTAATAACAAAACCCCCTAAACCCCAGTTCAATGTTCTGCCATTTCATGAACACACAACATAGTTTACAGTTTTGTATTTCACCATGTCTTTTCTGCCTCAGCAAAACCAAAGTGTTTTTTCTTACTTCAACTTGCAGCAAAATATCTAGGATAATGTCAGAAATGGAAGAATCCACTTCTAGCTTGGCAGAACATAGAGAGAGTTGTCGAATGAGACTGCCCAGTTCCTTGTAGTGGGTAGGAATCTGCTGCTCTGTTTGATCTGTAAACTGATTGGCAAATGCCTGCAAGGCTCGTACAGCTCCTCTGTGCGCTGCCGCCAACCTGGATACTGCTCGAGACTGGAAAATGAAAAATAAATGCTTTAATAGCTACAGTTTCTATCAATATTGATATTATTTGAAGAATTGTTACCGGTATTTGATGGAGAAACACTCAGGCTTGGGACAATCCTGATGGCTATGAGGGCATTTGTGAGACAAAACAAAACAGGCATTTAAGTAACCTCCTAAAGTACTACACACCAGTTCTCATATCAAGTATCATGCTAGCTTCAGATAAAATAGCCTGGTTATAATGTATTCAGATGTTTCCACTACCTATGTCAACAAAGGACTATAGTCATGGGCTTGACCCCAACGTGCAACAATTGTACAAACATAGAACATTCTCCTTCCTCCAGTTTTTATTACAGAATAAAATACACGTGTTGGAAAAGCACAAGAGAACAACAGGACAGTACCGGCCAAAGAACAGGCATAATCTCAGTACTATCTTTCTGAAAGATGCTGGTCAGAGAAGAAAAGCACAAAGAAACTGACAAGAATGAGTGACATCAATAGAAAGTTAAAAAAAGCAGGCAGGAGTAGAGCATAGTCTTATTCAGAAAAGGAAGTGGAATGAAGAAGGAATTAGGAGCCACATAAAAGCAGACCAACAACCTTCCTCTTTAGTTTACTGTAGATGGGCAAGAACTGAGGAGAAGAGGGAAGCAGCAAAGGCAGTATAAGACCAAGTGAGACACAGTTCTGTGAGAATGAGATGAAAGGTGCAACATACAAAAAGAATCTCCCTTCTAGTGAGGGCTCAGGTGTACCCTAGACAAACTCAGTTAGCTAGAAAGCTTCCTGTCAATTACTCACAGCCTGAAGGATAATTACATCTTACCTTTTTCGTATGTTTGATTTTATGAGAACTCAATTTCTCTAAATCATCCTGAATTTCTTTTACCTGTTTATTAAGAAATAGGGGAACAGGGGAAGGTCAGTCAGAATGAGCTCCATGTCTATATATGAACAATTAATCTTCACTATAATATCTGAATCAAAGTCTACATTTTCCAGCAGTGATGCTCATCTCTGTCCAGTCACAAGAGAAATTAGTCACACCATTGAGATCTAAACTAGAATGCTACGCAAGTTCAGAGATAACCAGATCAAATTTCTCGTTTCAGTTCACTTCTGTCATATTCATCACAACAAGCTAACTACTATGCATCCCAATTCAAATTGCTGGTTCCTACCTGTTGCTGGAGTACATAAAGCATCCGAGCTGACCGTGCAGCTTGTTCCCGTCTCCTAGTGCAAACTCGTTGCTCTTTATCAGGATCTAAAATTTCTCTCTCTCCACCTAAAAGGCATGAAATGTAAAGTTTTATGTCTTAATTTAACCTACGAAAATCCCAATTAAGACATGATAACAAAAGAAATTTAGCAATAAGCCTCTTTCATGCAGAATCAATACACAAGGTATCATATTTGCAGGGCTCCCTTGAGCAGTAATGCAAGCTAGTTATTTCAACTCTACATCATGTTTCTATCTAGAATTTGACAAAACATTCTTATATAACATAGCTTATTAGTTATGCTTCCAAAATAACATGTGACCCCTTAGTTTTATGAAAGCACTGCAAGTAAAGCACTCAGTGTTAGGAATAGTTAGATTTCCAGGTAGTTACTACAAAAGAACCAATGTGGTGTGTACTGGGGCTGGCTGGGATGGAGTTGGTCTTCTTCACGGTCACCAGTACATTGCTGGTTTGGATTTATGACTAAAAGAGTGTTGATAGCACCCCAGTGTTTTGGCTATTGCCGAGCAGTTCTTGCACAGCACTAACTATGCCCTGTCAGTGCACAGCCTGGGTGCGTGCAAGAAGCTGGGAGGGGACATGGCCAGGACAGCTGACCCCAACTGACCAAAGGGATGTTCCACACCATGCTCAGCAATAACAAAACCAGACTTTTTGGGGAAGGAAGGTAGCCAATGCTCACAGGTTAGCTGGGCATTGAGTCTACTTGTGGGAGGTAGTCAGTGATTGCCTTTTCATCACTTGTTGGTTTTTTCCTTTCTTTCTTCTTCCTCTTTCCTTCCCTTACTAAACTATCCTTATCTCCACCTGTAAGTCTTCTTGCTTTTAACGTTTCTATTCTCTCCTGCCAGGAGGGAATGACTAGAAGCATGTGGTGCTTCGCTGCCGACCAGGGTTAGCCTGCAACACAGATTAATCGTGCTATTGCACATCCATAAACCAGGTGAGTCAGAGCTGTGAAACGAAGTTTTACCAGCTCTTGCCCCCTTTCTCATCACTGATCAGAATGTAGTTAATTGTGATACTGCTTTTTGTAGTCTGAATATCTGGCCAATAAGCCTACATACACCAATGTTTTTTCACCTGCATTATTAAATAGCCCACCACTAAGCTACTATCATTGCAGGCTGGATTGGAACTCACCATGAACGCTCAGAGATATTAAACCCTGCTATTGCTTAAACTGGCTAGTCATTCTAGCTTCTATATACTTTTGAAAAAGATAGACGGTTCTCAAAAATCCAGAGCTAAATACAGGTTCTAACCCAAGCCACAAAAAAAAGAACAACAACCAAAAAACCCACTAAACAAGCCCAGAAATAAACACAAATCCACAATTTCTGTAACAAGACTGTCATTGAGTCTTACACCTTTTTTAGTCAGTTCTTCGATCTTCTGGACATAGTTCCTCAACTCCTTATGCAGCCGTCGGACTTCCTGCATGCTTTTATCTGCTTTTTTGTTGATGTTTGGCTTGGGGTCTGGCCCTGTGCCACGGCTGGGTGGAGAGCCCAGACCAGCTGTGATTAGCATTCCCTCATTTGGTGTGTAGAGATAAACTTTAGCGCCGGAGGTGGCAGTCTCCACTTTGGATGCCTGACCAAGTTTCTGCTGATATTTCAAGCAAGTTTGAGACTTGAGTGCATTTTTATTTTCTGGGCTTTCAAATACTTCAGCCTTCTGCTGTCGTGACTTCTGAGCCAACAGTGGTTTACTGGCAGCATCTCCAAACACTTGCTGTTTCACTTGCTCTTCAAGTTGTCTTCGTTTTATGTCCCTTTTGGCTAGCTGAATAGCCAATTTCAGTCTCTCTTCAGATACCACTGAAAACATGCTGGAGCTTCTCATGCTGGGGTCCTCACTTCCAGTGAGACTTCTCTGATGATTGGATGCCTTCAGTTTTTCTATTATAATTGGATGGGGGTTAGAGAATCGGAGAGCCAAGTTCTCTGGAACGGCAGGAACATTTCTATTAAACTGGAGCTGTTCCAAAGTGTAAAAAAAAAAAAAAAAAAAAAAAAGTCAATCTAATGTTACACATAACACTTTCCACAGGGGATGTGTCTCTAGTGTCAAAAAGTAGGGAAAACAGATCTTCTTTCATACTAGAATGCATTCTGTCGTGATAGTACTTCTTCAATGCATGCAAGGTATTCCATCCACTCAAATATCATTATTCAAAATTATCTTGAATGAAGCATTTAGATCATCTTATAAATTATATTTACAGATGTGGTTTCTGGTCTATACTCTTATGAAAAGACAGTGTCACAATTATATATGACAGCATCATGAAAGCAAGTATGAAGGCAGCGTGCTAGTGAGTGTCAATCTCAGTTGGACACAGTCATCTTTTTGTAACAATCGCAAATGAAAGCCAATTCAGCATCGCTGCAGAAGTCAAATAATACCTGTGTCTGTAAAGCCTTTGCTTCGCTCCTGTACAGCTGGGTAGCATCAGACATAGTTGGCTTGCTTGGTCCCATCACACAGGCTTGATGCTGAAATCCCAGTTATTTGTCCTTTCTTTACAATGACAACTATAAACATAAGAAGAATCAAACATTATTTCTGCCTCTCAAAAGCAGTCCCAGGCCTGATGCGAATAACAAAGAGAGAACCACTCTGAGAAGCCACGTAGAAATGGAAAATGCATTGTGTACTCACACAGATGGTAGGCAAATCCTGTCATTTAAAGCAAACTTTATAATTATATCTTTATTATACTCTTTTACACACCCCCTGCAGAGAGCTGACGAGCACCACTACAGACAATGAGGCCTACACCATGAACCACAAGATTGCTGCAGAACTTTTATAGCTATCACGTACCTAAAAGGGAAATAGCACACTGCAAAGATAAGAAAACAGACTAGCACGACAGCCTAAGGCAGTGCTCAAGGTACACAGTCTGTACAAAACCCATCAGGGTCAAAGGAAAGCAGATCAAGGGCACGCTCATGCCTGAACTTTTGCATAGAGGACTGAAAGTAAAGGCGATATGGGGAGGCACACAGAGGCTCGTCTCCTTCATCTGCCTCCGGGAATTAAAAACCGAGCAGGACCCGACACATAACGCTGTTAAAACTCTCCATCGCGACTGAGGTTTTGCCTCTGCTCCTCACCTCGCTGCACGCAGCTGCCCTCGGGCCTCGCACGACGCGCCCCTCGCGATGGGGT